CCTGCTTCCAAGCATCAGAGAACCGGGATGTTGCTATGGCGTGATTATTAATAAATCTAACATGGTCTAAAAGCTACGTGAAAATGTATTTTACCATAATGGGTGAAATTCCATCAGACCCTACAGCATTAGTTTTAATGGATGAGAAACTCCTCGCAACAGATTCTTTGGCAACCTTCTGAAAACAGAATGACTTGAGAAACTGATTGTTTTAATATTTGTTCAGTAGTTCAAATTGTTTTTGTGTCTTCGTTATGATCGGAATATTTGTGAAATGTGAATTTATCTGCGTCACTGAAGTTATCTGGTAGAGTATTTGATTATACTAAGTTTCCTAAGAGCTCTCTATATTGCTTTACTGTTCCTCCCAGATACAAAGTATTCCATATAAGCCTTTTTCTCTCTCCGAAGAGCAGCAGCAGCATAAATATGGAGTTCGTTATAATTATTCCAGTAGGCAGTTGACTTACTCCTTTTAAACCTTAAATAAGCTTTATCTCTATCTTTATTAATCATTTTGATATTATGTCAGCCAAGGAGCTGGTGGCTTAGTAACTCTGAATGTCCTCATAGGTGCACAATTATCAAATAAATTATGTTATTTAAGAACCTTACCATATCATTAACCCTATTTAATTGAAAAATATCATCCCAATGAATCGAATGAAATAGGTACGTTCATTAAAGTTACGAAAGTCCCTAAACGTGTGAAACTTCTGCGTCCGGTTGCTTAACGCTTTATGGAGGTGACAACAGCTGAATGATAAGATAACTCACGAACTATTACAAGATTGCAGTTTCTCGCATTTTCTCCATCTGAGCAGATAATAACGTCTATCAGTGTTTGTGAGTGGCTAGTTCCTCTTGTAGGAGGTGCATCTACTACCTGTTTCAAATTGAAGGATTCTGAAAAATTTAGCATAATTTCTGTAGCCGATGAATTAATCAACAAATTTATATTGAGATCACATAGAATTAGAATGACATCCGCAGATGGTAATAATATGGATAAGGTATTTTCTTTACTGTCAGGTGTTTGTGGAATATTGGAAGGAGAAGGTCGATATAATGCACCAAAGGTATATGTTTTGCCATCATGACACTGATCCATTACTCTTCCAAAACGGGATCACTATTTGTACGGAGCAAGTTGAATTTTTTATGTTCTTTAAGAAAGAAGCCGACACCTCCTCCTCTACCGATTCTGTCCGCATGTATAAAATTCTAATTGGGAATACGGATAGTCGAAGTAGACAACATCCTGATAATAGCGATCTAACATTAAGATGACCAACTTCCTGCCTTACATGTATATGAATGTCTATTTGATAGGAAATAAATAGTAAAAAAAAAATAAATTATGAGATTGAGTTATGGAGAAGATTGAACAATCATTGAAGAGAGTGCAGCATTTTTGATTTCGGTATGTAACCTGCTGTTTTTATTAAACTGGTATATAGTTTTCAAAAAGTATGTAGTAGTCTGGTTAAATTCACGAATACTTAAATACATGCATACATGCATAATTATATAAAAATGTATTTCTGTGATACTAAATATTAATATTCATAGTGAACATTTAGAGACAATTGAGCACTACGTAGCAATGAAACAAGACAATTTTGTATCACAGTACATTATACAGCGTGTCCGCAGACACAACTACGCTTGATATAACAAAGCTAATGTATGGTGAAACGTGAGCGCGAACAAGTAAAAATAATAAATGAAAAAGTACTCACTGTTCAGTGGGATTGAAATTTCAAGTACGGCTCTGTCGTAAAATCCGTATTTACATCGTAGTCGTACTTCGTATAACTGTACGCTGGCGCTGAGGACGTGATCGAGGGATAGGACAGGACCGGCTTCGGTTTGGTTTAGGTTTGATTGAGCTTGCGTAGCCCAATATCTCGGTTCTCTTGAGACATTGGTGTATTTGCTGCTAAGAAAATCAGCTCATTTCCTCAAGATCTACGGACACCCTGTATATGATACTCATGGCATCATATGCAGTGTAAGTAGAGCAATCAAGTAAACAAGACAACGAGTGCCAACGAAATTTTGATAGCCATTGGATCGTTCCTCCCTCCGAAATGACATATTGGTTAAGTTACTGTCATTTTAAATTCAAACTTTCAAAGAATTTCAGTCGAACAGTACAGGATAAGTCTCAGATATTGCACACTTAAGTTGATAATAGTTGCTTAAAATAGATTCTTGAGTAGAACAGATATGATAAAAAAAACATGAGGCCATGCGCTAACTCAGTCTTTCTGCAAACCTCCAGCCCTACTTCGATTACTGAGTTGTACAACCTGCAAGATTCAACTATTAAGGTCTTAACATTTGCGGCATTGGCCTCAACCCACTATGCAAGACGCCAGCTGGGAAAATAGATTTACAAAAATAGGTCGTTTGCGTTCCAAACGATATTTTTTTAATGACATATCGACCAAACAATGCACGAAGGTAAACCGCTCATAAATATAATCGGCTACATTTTGTCAAGATTCGCCAATCGATCCCTGTCACGCAATTATTTTTTGCTGTGTTCTCTATAAAGCCAATCATCGGTACGGGATTGACCTATAAATCGGAATTATCGGTTGTACGTCTTTTGTTGATACCTAAGGCAAAAGTTTGCGTTATTCTGTGTTGGCTATAAACAACTTATTGATTTATCGATTTTTCGCATGAGACCTGGCAAAAGTCAACCAACTTATGGTAGTAATTTTATTTGGACACATTTTTAAGGAACGTATTATAATGACACAGATTTTCACAAAGTTTGAATCAAATCTACTTTTCTTAGCAGACGGTCTCAAATTTGCTCTACATTGGAGAGCACAAAGTGGGCCAAAAAACCCAAAAGCTGCTTAATGGTTTTTAGAGTAATCGATTTAAAATATACGGTCAAAAATCAGAAACAGTATGGCACCAACTATTTGAAGTAAGATGACAGTTCTATGACAGTCGGTATCATGTTAAAGGTACTGCCGATTTCGGAATAAAAAATCAAACATATCATTATGATAACACTCTAGAGCGATTTATGGTAAACAATCAATTTATATTATTATATGCAGTACATACTTAAAAATACCATTTTAAGGTCTATAGGTAGCATCAAGAATGTAACATTTTTGCATTTATTAAATTTTCATATTTCCCCCAATAGTTTGTGAAAATTCGCAACGCTTGTTTCTAAACTGTCTGTTCTAGTCTTTCTGTACCTGAGGGATTTCTTTCTTTGGGTTCTCTTCCGAGGTGTTGTCTCAGTGTAAACATATTAAACAAATTGTCAAGATTCTACTTTCATTTCAACAACTCTAGTTGTCCTAGAGCGGTTCAAAACTCGTACCAACAAGATTTGCTTAACAGCTTTATGGGACCCGTAAAGAGAGAAGGAGATTAGTTACGATGAAAAGTACAAACTCTCAAAGATTCAATCACAGACACACGAATTCAGGCCAGAAAGAAATTTACTTTTCCGTTTATATCAAGGTTTCGAAAATGTTTATTTTCTTCATGGGGACGTACTATTGTTCTTCGGAATAATAAGTCAAATAAATTTAAATCCTTTTAAACCAATTACGACACGTCCTCTTTCCTTTCCTCAATCGATAAAATGTTGGAAAGCCATTAACCAACATACAGCATCAATGATGTACAGGTCATAAGATAAATTATTGTAAAAATCTACCACCTAATGATTTGAAAAACTTTAAAAAACTATGTCGTTCTCATAATATTTAGGAGCCAAAATAATAAGGAATTTTGGCTTAAATTTCGACACCTTCCAGCAAGGCCTCCAGTTCTACATATCTGAAAAACAAATAAAAATATTGATAATAATAATATTTATTATTCTCAATAAACAGTACATAATAGTTTACAAACAAAGATCCTTAAGAGAATACAGTGCTACATCAGGCTGCCCGTTAAAGAAGCAGCTGCTAGAGCCAAAAAAACAAATTTAAAAAACTATAACGAGGCAGATGATTATTGAGATATTGACATTTAATAAAGTTTTGATATTATAGAAATATAGCGAAGTATAGTAAGTAGAGAAATGGAATTGTATAGTTTAGAGTGAGAAAGATAAAGCGACAATAGGTGATAGAGAAGAAGAGAGAAGGGGGAGCAGGAGATATGTTTTTTGTGATACTAGTACCTGAGAGAGTAAACCAATTTTAAGGTCTCCCTTAAATGTTGCTACATAGAGAGAAACATCTTTAATTTTGAATTTATTTACCAAAAAGGCAATTTGATATAGGAATGATTCCTTGAATGATTCTTTATTGTGTGATGGTATTGTAATCAAATTAAAAGATAAGGGGGTTTTTATATTTTATAATCTTGTAAAAAAGGAAGTAGAGTGCAACGTACGCCTCTGCGCCACATTCTACCATCCCAGTTCAGGTAGTTTGTGGGATACTCTTTGTCTATCCCTTATACCAAATGTCAATCTCAGTCAAGAATCCTGAGCATTTTGAACCCGTTTTAGTTCCACACTATCAAGAAATGGGCCATATACCATATCAGCAAAGTTGAAGTGGGATAACACTAAAGCTTGACAGAGCGTGGCTTTAGTATTTTGTGATAGGTAATCTCTATGAGGGTAAATTATCTTTAACATTGAATATGCTTTCCTCAGACATAGAGTAATGTGTTCTCTAAACTTTAGTTTAGAGTCGACCGCTGAGCCCAAATCATTCTAGAGCATTCCAACAGAGGCATACTTTATTTAGAGGAATAATTAATCACATGTGCCGTTATTGAAGGGTGTCGCAAAAATAGCATCAATGGCTCAAATTGTGAGAAAATCCCCGTAATTGTCTATATCTCCTCCAACCTTTATTGGCATCTAGGCTGTCATCATCAAATGTAATCTGAATAATAACTAGTATTCTCCGTCTTAATGCTCTTACAGGTAAGCGTATGCATGAATGCATATTACGTAAATACCACAAATAGGAATAAGCATTAAATGTATCAACGTTTAATTCTGAATACGTTGTTGCTTCGTGGTCATAAAGAATAACACCTTCGGTCTGTGACAGCTCTCATGAAATGAAATGTTGGTGTGTTGGAAATATGTGACTACAGAATGTATCTGGGTGTAAGTAGGAAGTGTTCCGTAATGTATGCCAGTAGAATAACCAACTAAATATAGGATAAGCAACAGAGTAGCTATCAGATTAATCCAATTGCCGCTCTTCATTGGCTGAGCTCAATGTTCTGTCAAAGGCTTGGCTAAGGTGTAAATCCTTTCAAAGATAATGAAGCTTAAATATAATTCGTAATACCAATCTCCTCAAATTGTCCCGTCGTTTAATAATTTTCATGTTATTAATGCAATATCCCATGCAAGTTTTGAAACATACTCCATGGTTATCTAGACCATCCTCCTTAACCTGGCTAATAAATGAAACCGCATACGTTAAATTATGATTGTTGATTACAAAATAAGAGGTTGATCTACTGATGACTTTTCTACTAGATGAAAATCAACAACAACAAAGATTACTTTTCCTGGGCCTATAAGCTGACAAACACTACAAAATTTATTTATTTATGCGGTTCGTCGCCAGTTGAATATATTGCGTAACTGCAGTAGTAATTCGCCAGACGGTCCCTACTACTAACTGTGCTCCTACCGTAAAACAGCGACGACGATGATGATGTCATAAATTGGCATAATAATCGTACATGTTGGTTATAGAAATTAACACACTAAAATAGTGTATTGGGTACTTTTTGAAGCTTTTTTAGTATTCTCATAGGTTGATCAGTAAGGCGGAAACGGGTTTGCTGATTGACATTGTGATACATCAGGTCTATAAATAGAACCGCTTTATGTTGCTGCCTTGTTTATTATTGTTAAGAAATGTGTATGATTTATGAAAAGAGAGAAAACCATGAACAGCAAAAGGCTCTTCTGAAATTAAAGTACTCATTGTTGTCGGTTTTTTTCCGCTAATTTTGTACAAAAAAAGATTTAGCAAACTTTCTCTACAGGGTGTCCCGAAAAAAGTGTGCAATATTCTACCAGCGGTTTCTAGAGCTTGAAATAGGAAGAAAAGTTTATATAAACATAGGTCGACAAACGTCCCCTAAGGGCGCTACGGTCTTTTAAAGGGACTGCCCTGAAGATGGTTTTTCCTTAATATTTCCGAAACGTGTTGAGATAAAGACATCAAATTTGGTATTCTGGCCTAGTTTTTTATGCTGGATTTAAAAATAATAACAATTTTAGACAGTTTTGTTTGGAAGCGTATGTAACTGGGACGGACTCAGGTTATTTTAGCCCCAAAATTTTTGTGTGCTTCTATTTTTGAAATTCAATTTTAGAATTTAAAAATCAAGGGTTTTCTACATAAAAAAAGGTACTCTCATTGAATATCGATAAATTGTGCCATTTTTGAATTAAATCAAACTGAAAAATTTGTCACATGATAGGAAATGTACCGCGAATTTAAATGAATTGTTGATTATACATAGTTAGCTATGACTCCAAACAAAAGTTGTTTTAATTTGTTATGACTTATTTTGACGTTAAGCTGACATTATTAGCAGTGTAAAATTACTAGATTAAAATCAAAAATTTTATTAAATCGATTTAAAGTGCCAAGATTTACAGACAAAGAACTGACTGACATTCATTTTCTGTACGGGTTTTGCAATGGCAGCCGTAAGAGAATATCAAAGAAGATTTCCCAATCGCCTAGTACCTGGACGTCGAATGTTTACTGATATTCACCGGAATTTGTCAAACCATGGAAGTTTTCAGTGCATGCAGGGCTCAGGAAGGCCACTGGGAAATCATCGTAAGGATATTGCTTTAAATATTTTTGAAAATAATCCGCAAATAAGCATACGAAATGTTTCAGAAATTATGGATATACCTCGATCAATAGTAAGAAAAATGTATGAATACCTATTTGACAGTTATCCTAATAATTTTAGATAGGAAGAATGACAAAAATGCGAGGATTACATCCTTATCATTCTAAACGGGTGCAGCATGTAACCGAGGCAGATTTTTTACCACGAATCGAGTTTTGCCAGTGGATATTAGCAAATGAAAGCACTACTCCTAGAATATTATGGTCGGATGAGTCAATATTTACTAGGAATGGTGCTCTTAATTTCCATAACATGCATCACTGGTCAGATGAAAATCGCCGTACAAATTTCTTACATAGATTTTCATTGAACTTATGGGCAGGAGTAATTGGGGATCAAGTAATTGGGCCTATTGTATTTCCCAATCGTCTTAATTCAGAGGTGTATCTGAACTTTCTTCAGAATGAGCTCATGGATATAATACAGGGTGGCGCAGAGGAAACGCATGTTTTCTGACCGAATGGTATTTCGCACAGAATAGGGATATGACCTCGCCGCACCGCCAGCAGAGAACACATGCGATGCAGTTTCAGCCATGGCACCGTGTATGACGGAGCATCGTGTGTTTGCCGTCGAGCAATTTTTTCGAAACGATGATTCTGTAGTGATCGTGCAACGTTTATTCCGTCGACAGTTCAATGTTGAACGCCACGGGCCAATTCCAGATCGAAACACAATACTCCGATGGGTTGAAGCATTTCGAAGTACTGGATCCGTAATGAAGAGGAAGCCACCTGGCCTTCCCCGTACCGTGCGGACTCCAGGCAATATCGAAACAGTGAGAAGAGCGGTCCTTGATAGTCCCCAACGGTCCACTAGGCGCCAAGCTCCAACTCTGCGTATGTCCCGTCGGTCGTTACAACGCATTCTGCATGACGATTTACAATATCATCCGTACAAGATAATGATCGTGCAAGAGATAACGGAAAGCGATTTTGCACAGCGTAGAGAATTTTGTGCGAGAATTAACTGTGTGGTGCGGAATCAGTAAATTAGGTATCGTTGGTCCTTACTTTGTTGAAGAGGAAGAAAGAGCAGTAACAGTTACTTCAGCACGTTATGTTCACATGTTACAAAATTTTCTGTTACCCGAACTTCAACGGCAACAAGTAAACATGGGAGAGCTGTGGTTCCAACAAGACGGTGCCACAGCTCACACAGCGAGAGCATCAATGGAATGGATTGGACAGATGTTTCCTGAACATGTGATTTCCCGTTTCGGCGATGTCCCTTGGCCCCCACGCTCCCCAGATTTGTCCGCATGCGACTTCTTTTTGTGGGGTTACCTTAAGGATAAAGTGTACCCTCACAAGCCTCGTACGTTACAGGAACTGAAAATTGCTATTCGTCAAGAAATTGCAAGAATACCACAAGAAATGATTTTACGTGTAATGCACAACTTTCAAGAGCGGTTGGAGATGTGCGAGCGCGAAGCAGGGCGACACTTGAGTGACGTTATTTACCATCATTAGTTTAAAAGTGCACTATCATTACTTTATTTAGCTGTAACTGAAACAAAGTTATCTTGAAAATAAAAAATGTTATGCTTAGATGAAAATCGTGCGTTTCCTCTGCGCCACCCTGTACTATTGGGTGTGCGCCAGCAGTTTCAAGAAAATATGTTTTTTCAACATGATGGCGTCCCTGCACATTTTGGACGCAATGTTCAAAATTGGTTGAGTGTCAATTTTCCAGGTGGTTAGGCCGAGGAGGTCCTATAGAGTGGCCGCCACGTTCACCTCACCTAAATCCATTGGTTTTCTATTTTTGAGGGTCATTAAAAGACCTAGTTTACTCGACTGAAGTAAATACTCAAGAAGATTCACTTCAAAGAATCCATCAGGCTTCAAATGAAATAAGAAGAAAAAGGTTTTCCACTTTTCGGGCTACGCAATCATTAGTTCGTCGAGCGAGACTCTGTAGCCAACAAAATGGGGATTTATTTGAACTCTTATTGTAAAGCTAGTTTTAAGTATATCCAACTGTATGTCTTCCTTTTTAAACAAATTTCTATTTCGTTCGTAGAAATAAATTATTTCTTTTGTTTTTGCCTAAATGTTAGCTATGTTGCAATAGAAATATTTACAATTATTAAATTAGTTTTTTCGTTGCCATGGCTAATTATTCAACAATTCATTTAAATTCGCAGTACATTTCCTATCATGTGACAAATTATTTAGTTTGATTTTATTCAAAAATGGCACAATTTACCGATATTCAATAAGCATACTTTTTATGTAGAAAACCCTAAATTTTCAAATTCTAAAATTGAGTTTCAAAAATAGAATCACACAAAAATTTTGGGGCTGAAATAACCTGAGTCCGTCCCTGTTACATACGCTTACAAACAAAACTGTCTAAAATTGATAATATTTTTAAATCCAGCATAAAAAACTAGTCTAGAATACCAAATTTTATGTCTTTATCTCAACGCGTTTCGTAAATATTAAGGAAAAACCATCTTCAGGGGAACCCCTTTAAAAGACCGTAGCGCCCTTATGGGACGTTTGTCGACCTATGTTTATATAAACTTGTCTTCCTATTTTAAGCTCTAGAAACCGCTGGTAGAATTTTGCACACTTTTTTCGGAATACCCTGTATAGATTAAACATGCTGCTCTAAATTTCTTTATTATCTTCTTTGCATTTTTTTGTATTTGTATGTACTTTTTTTTTTTTTTAGCCCTGGTTGGTTCTGACAAACAGCTTTTGCTGATGTAACCCGCCAATTAAAATAAAGGCCATTTATTATTATTATTATTATTATTATTATTATTCCTTTTCTTCTGTCCCATTGGAGGGTATACATCGGCTGTATAGAGAAGGAATTCACCTTGTCTTATTGCCAGAAATTTCCTTACTAGGCGGCAAGTGGCAAGATTAGCCGCTTTTTGGATAGGAGCCAACGGTTTGTTACCACTCCTTCTACCGAGATGACAAAGGGTACAATGGTTACATTATTCAGTTTAAATAAGCACCTCATTTCAATGGCCAAGTCCTGATACTTCATTTTCTCTTCATCTTCGGTCTTTTTCAGCTGAATAGCAAGGGGAACTGCTATATCTATTATCAGGGCAGACTTCTCTTTTTTGTCTATGTATACAATATCAGGCCTGTGATGCTGTATGTGCCTATCTGTTATTATTGGGCCATCCCAATCGAGCAGTGATGTATCGTTTTCTAGGACCGCGGTAGGTACGTATTTATAATTGGG